AACTTCTATAGAAATTAGAAATCTACTATTTAATAGTAAGAGTAATATTAATCCTTATAAAAAACTAATAAATACTTTTAATATATCTCTTACTATAAGAAAACTATATATATACTACCTCTACTACTAAAACTATTAAGCTTATATCTATATTTACTTAGATAGCTATCTATATATAAAAGAGTAAAAAATAAAGCTTAAAACTAAACTTAGAAGATTTATAAGATATAATAGCTTCTATAGTAATATCTTCTATATTTTTATTAAAAAGATTAATAATATTTAGTAGATAAGAGATATAACGTTTAAAAAAGATAAGAAAGAGCTCCCCCTAATTAAATTTAATAACTTATAGCTAAGAGAAGAGGTTAAACTAAAATCTTATAAATATAGTAATAAATTACTAATAGTAATATATAAAGCTAAGTTTCAGCTTTATACTATAGATACTAAGTCTTACTATTATTATTATTCTACTAAATAAGATTAATAATAAGAGGAACTAAGCAGTTTATACTTAAAAGAAGCTTAAAAGCTAGAGGGTAATAATAAATAAAACTAAAAAGATAAGCTTCTTTAAGAATAAGAAGAAATTAGTAGAAAAGGGGGTAGTTTACTAATATTAGATCTAAAACTATGCTTATTAATACTAGATATTAGCACTATAAATATATAGGTATAATTAATACTAAAAGAAGTTTCTTTTTTATAGTAATATTCTCTTGCTACTCTTTTAAAGTAGAGATCTCTAGCTACTCCTTAGAGATAATAATTACTAGCTAATATTTTATAATAGTAAAGCTCTCTTAATATTTTACTTTAAACTCCTCTCTTAATATAAAGAAAACTAAGGGGAAGATTAAGAAGTAGTAATAGAGGTTCTACCTTTATAAAATCACTAAAAGTAACTACTTCTTTTTCTAGTTAAATAACTTAGATATTTAAAACCTAAATACTATATAATATAAAGAAGTTTAATAGGGAATTTAGTAAAATAGAAGCTATAGAGATTAACCTAATTAATAATAAAATAGACTAAAAACTAATTACTTTTACTTTCTTAATATCTAACCTATTATAAGTTTTTAGTTTAGAGATTTACTTATTTATAACTTTTAGGAAATAGGAGATAATAAAAGAGGAACCTCTAAAGTTAGCTATTTTTAATACTATAAAGACTTAAGTTAATAGCTTATAGGGGATAGATTATTAGTAGCTTAAAGAGCTCTTAAATAGTTTTAAATATCTCCTAAGTAAATAAATATATAATAAGAAGGTTATTATAGATAGAAGACTTAATAGAGTTAGAGTAAGATAGATTATTTATAGTAATTTTTAAGATAAAGATAATAAGATAGTTTATATTATTATTACTAATTTTATTACTCTATAAGTTTTTTTACTAATTATAGTACTTAAAGATCTAGAACTTTACTAGGTTAATATAGTTATAGCTTTCCTAAATACTTTTATAGGAGATTAAGATATCTTTATTACCTAATTTTATAGGTTTAATAATAGATCTAGCTAGTTTTATAAATTAAAAAGAGCTCTCTATAGATTAAGAAAATCTCCTCTTTTTTAGTATAAATAAATTATTACTATTTTTAAATAATTAAAGTTTTATTTATTACTAAAAGAACCTTATATTCTTATTAATAAGGATAGCGTTATAATATTATTTTATATTAATAATATACTTATTATAGTACTTAATATTAAGTAAGTTAATAATTTTAAAAATAATTTATATAACTTCTTTTAGATTAAGGATTTAAGTGAAGTATAATAATTCCTTAAGTTTAAGATTATTTATTACTATAAAATAAGATAACTTTAGATCTTATAAGCTAAGTATATTAATAATATATTAATAGAGAAGGGTATTACTAAATATAACTAAATACTTTACTACTTTAGTGATATTTAGCTACTAAAGATTATAGAATAATATAAAATACTTACTAAGATATATAAATATTAAAGTAATCTAAATAAGTTATAATAGATTATAAATAATATATAACTAGATATTATAATATTTATAAATAGGACTACTAGAGATTAATAATATACTTCTAAAAAGTATAATAAACTACTAAAATTAATATAGAGATATCTCTATAGCTTATAATAACTAATACTCTACTTTAGTAGTTTAGGATACTCTATTAATAACTTTAAATTATTAGTATTCTATAATACTAGCTAGTCTAATTATAAAAAAACAAAGAAGTTAATAGCTAGTTATATAGTTATATATAGAGGAGTATTAATTACTTAGAAATTAGTACTATAATTATTTATAACTATATTAACCTATAAAGCTAAGTAGATAAATCTAATACTTAGAGGGAAAGCTTTACTATATATTATAAATCTCTTTAAAAGGATAAATATCTCTATTTAATTACCCCTCTAAGTATATATAGATTCTATAAATACTTTTAATAATTATCTATTAAGTAAATAGTTATTTAAACTGCATTATATTAAGATTAAGTATTACTAAATTATTAATAATATTAGTAATAGGGATTTTAAGATTAACTATATCTTAACTTATAAGATAGTTACTAATAGTTTTACTAAACTACTAATAATAGAGAAATATTATAACTTTATTAGAATACTAAGTTTATTTAAATTACTTATAACTAATAATAAGTTTTAATCTAAGGATAATATCTTAGGACTTAATCTTAATTAAGTCCTTTCTATTTATTTATTTCTTTTATATATAATAACTTTATTCCTTTATATTTTACTAACTAATTAACTTTTATAATTAGACTTTATATTATTTTAATTACCTTAATTCGCTCTATTTAATAGTTAAATTACTAACTATAAAAGTCTTCTATATAAGAAGTTATTTAATAATAAAAGCTTAAAAAGTAATTAAAAACTTTAACTTTACTAAGTTATAAGTTTATTACTAAGTTAGATATTTTAGTTAGTATTTCTCTAAGTTATAACTATATTAAGTTTAATTAGTAAAAGTTAATTAACTTTAAACTTAAATAAAATTAATATAAGTTTAAAATTTAAAAAAGTAAAAAATTAATTAACTAAGCTTTAAAAATATTATAAAAAGATTAATCTTTAAAGTAATATTAATTAAGAACTATTATATTTAATACTTAACTTAATATAATTAGTAGATTAGAGGAGAGGTATTATAAAGCTAATTAATAACCTAAAGATTACTACTTTTAGAGAAAGAGAGCTACTTAGAATATAAGATCTAAGATTAAACTAAAGAGGATAATTTTTAAACTTATTTAAGTTAAGAGCTAACTCTATAAAGGGGAATTAAATAGTAAACCTTTAGGTTATTAATTTAAAAATCTAACTAAGTATTAAAAATAGAAAGTAATACTAATTATATTAAGTAGCTATTTAATTATCTTTATAGAGATAACTTAAATAGTAGTACTAATATTAATTAGTTATATAAAGGTTAAAAGGGGTTAAGAAGTATTTTAGAGTTAAAATAAGATAATAATAGTAATATAAAAAGGTAGGAACAATATATAGAAATAAGAATAATATAAAACTAATATATAATTAATTAGACTATTATTTTAAAATAGGAATAGCTTTAATTATAGTACTAGAAGCGTTAGCTAAAAAGGGGGTATAAGATAGTAGTTAGCTAAGCTTAGGCTTAAAGCCTAAAACCTAGCCTAAATCCCACCTTTACGTAAGGGATTAGCTACACCACTTTGTAGCTAGTTACGCCTAGCGCTTATAGCTAGATTAATCAAGCCACTTCACGCAATTCTAGAACGACGGACTGCCCATGAACTGCCGAAGCCTCGGGAGACTTGGTCTCTGATCGGACATTGGCATCTCCCGGCCCGCTGCTCCCACAGAGGGCAGAACCGGAAACAGCCACAATCCGGCCGATCCCGCCCACTCCGGGAATAATCGAGACGGAATGACCGGAGTCGGTGCTTTGGTGAGGGCCGACACTGCGATGCCGATGGTCCGAAAACCGCCAAGGCGACCGCAGAATGCGACCGGGCGCTTCGGTGCCTCGGTAGGATCGCGAAACCGAGGCTTCGGCACGGATGACCTGCAATTGAGTTGGTCTGCAAATACTGGGTCATTGACCTCCATCGTGATCACGACTTGTTCATGAGACCTGATCTCCTTGCTGATCTGAGGAGGCCAATGACCAACTCTGAGGAAGTGCAGACGGACGGGAGCAAAGTTCGTCATGCACCTGACCCAAACAGGACGTTCGGCAAGACATTTCCAATATGGGGCACTGACAGAATATTCCGGGCACCTGCAAACCCGCCAAATCGACCGTAAAAAAAACTCGACGACATTCTACCATCGGTCACTCGTATCAAGCTTCACAGTCAACACATTGGCATGTTAGTGGTGCTCCGACGCGCTGTGATCCCGTTGCTCGGCCGGGACGGGACGGGAAGGCCGGAGCGATGTGGGTCCTAGTTCCCCCGAGACTCCGACGGACCCAAACCAGGCTGGAAAGAGCACGCTTCCGAGGAGCGTTTTGCGGCCCTGAACGCGTTCCTCATGTTGAAGTCCGTTTAACATAGGAGTAGAGCCAGTGCCCCTTCTTCCAAAGCGATCTTCGAAAACTTACGATTGAAATCGCCCGCTGTACAGTTCTGACGGCTGAGGCTGGTTTATCCCTACGGTAATAATAGGGATAATAGTAATATGATCGCTTATACTGCTGCTTATCTATACCTCTAGAGTGTATTTATGTAGACTTTATTATCATAACTAGAGCAATTCACCCACATACCTATTACAGCTGCCTATCGCCCTGCGGGTGTGCGCAACCGCTGTGCCACACGAGGCTCAAGCACACGTGCCTGGCACCCTCCCTGACCCGCTTACATCTGGCGCAACAGGCGCCCAACCTGCCTCAGAAAGACCAAACATTTTTTGACCGTATTTAAGGCACTCATTCGCTGGCCTCTGCTTCACCACAACATCCATTTCAGCTGTCCCCCATGATGGCAGCTTCATCCACCCCCAGGCTGCCGCCACTCAGCATGAATGAGTCACCTCAGCCACACTCCTGCGAAATATGCCAGGACAGGCTGATATTCGCACGGCATTATGTCGACAATGTCGACCAAGGGTGGTGGGATGAGATTTCGGACCACAACTACTATGCCACCGGCAGGGCCTACACATTCAACATCTCCTACGGTGAGGCGCTTGAGCAGGCCCAGGCTGGTTGCGAGCTGTTTGCGTGGCTCGTGACGCTGCACCGTCCGGACACCTGGGACGAGAGCTGGCTTCGTGCGTACTACACGAGCCCGCCTGAGATCCACATGGTTCTTGACTGGGTCAATGACCTGGATGATCATGTTGACGGTGGAGATCCTTCTCGTCAGGTTGTTGTGTGCGCGGAAGAAGGGTAAGGCAAGCCGGCGGGGTGTACTACAAGCAGTATGTGCTTACTCTTTGTTATCAAGAGATATTGCTTTAGAATACATCAAAACGAAGATACCGTCCCTCCATCCATTATCAGAGGATGCTTTGTCCAAACTCCGACACTGGTCACACGGATGTGCATCCACACACCAGAACTGCATCGAAGCAGAAGCTGCAAGGGCCAAGCTCGATGATGAATCCAAAGTCCAGCCAGGGCCTCGTCGCTTACTATCGTTATCTAGGGTGGACTCGAAACTAGCAGTCAAGGTGGTTGAGTCGTCCCAGGAAATCCAACATTCTTATGTAGCCCTGAGCTACTGCTGGGGAGGTGACCAGAGAGCCAAGCTGCGTCAAGCCAACATGAACGAATGGCGCGAAGGGCTCCCCTATGAGAGCCTTCCGCAAACAATCAAGGATGCGATAACTGTCACTTTGAGTTTTGGGTTATCTCATCTCTGGGTGGATGCTCTATGCATTATCCAGGATTCAGACGATGATAAGGCACAGGAGATCTCGCGGATGGGCGACATATACGAACAGGCCCACTTCACTATTACCGCCGCCCGGGCGAAAATGGTCGAGGAAGGATTCCTGCATTCTCGTACTATCGCAGGCGAGAGAGGATTCCGGATCCCATATCTCTGTGTGAACGGTGATTTGGGTTCCGCCGTGTTCTGGACAGGCAGGGCAAACTGTGAACCGGAACCGACTGAGATACGGGCTTGGTGCTTCCAAGAGTCCATTCTCTCACCTAGGGTGCTTTACTTTGGGACACATAACTCCAAGTGGATATGCGCAGAGACGCGAAAGCAAGACTCCAGACCTCTCTACGACGGCTGTATTGGAGACTCAAGCCTGAATCTCGAGAGTATCAACAGCAGCAGACATTTGGTCTACGGCGTAGAATGGACCACTATGGCTGATTCCGAGGCTTTTTACCTCAGGTGGAGAGATCTTCTGCAGTACTATTCTGTCATGGAGGCCGGACAGCAACAGGACAGGTTGCTGGCTATCTCGGCCATTGCGAAGAAGATCGGTGGGATCGCAAAGGACAGGTACTCGGCCGGAATCTGGATGAACAGACCAAGCGATTCACTCACCTGGGTGTCCTGCTCTGACGAAGCCAAGAGACTGACTGGCTACTTTATCCCTTCGTGGTCGTGGGCATCGATATCGGGAGAGGTCCGCTTGGAGAGTTGCACTCCCAAGGAAGAGTTCTCCATTCAGCACTTGAAAGTCAAAAACCAGATACCAGGCGACGACTTCAGTGCACCGATCGAAGCACAGATGAAGTTGCAGACGCTGACGTTTCCAGCTCACGTCCGCAGAGATGAGGAGTACGGTGGGGACTTCTTGTGGGACCTGGCAGTCGGCGAAGCCGTTGATGGCCAGCTGTATCTGGACGTAGCTATCGACAGCACGGAGCGAGAGATTTCGCATGACGAGGAGCTTCTCGTGGCCTTTGTCGACCGAAGTGTGGCCCTTGTCCTCAAACGGTGCTTGGACAAGTTGACGTTTCGGCGGATCGGCATCTGCATCTTGATGCGCAATCGAGAGGACATTCTAGAGTTGAAAGAAATAACCCTCTCTTGATTTGACATGGCCCAAAAGACTCGATTACTATCAGAGGCCCGGCTTGGCATGTTTGAGCTTGACTACCTTCATTTTGACGTGGCTGTAAGAAGGTGAGCGCGTCGTCAAATCCGGGGACTTCTTTGTTGGGCCGCGTTTCGCAATTGTTGTCAATGTCTTGTTTTCTACTATTATCATACACTTCTAATAGGCGTTATATAGATGTTGGTATTCAAATTTTTTTTTTTTTTTTTTTTTTGATTATCGTTACGCTAGGTCGTTGAGATTTGTATCGAGAGATATGGCAACCTTGCTCAAAGGCCCGGCTCAGTTGCATGGCTCTTAGACCCCTCAAATGCATCCTCAAAGGTAGAAGTAGCAGAACGGGCCGGACAGCGTATCCATCACATCTTGGATCTGGATGTTCGGGCCAGCATATCCCATGTCAATAACATCGGTAAGCTGAGTCTTGTTGGAAGGTGGCTCGTTGGCCCAGGTCAGGTGCCCGTAGTCTCCTCCATTGAGGTCCTTGTGGCGGTTGACTGGGTCGATCGCTTGCCTGGAAGGAGAAAAAAGGTCAGATCAGGCATGTCGCATCGAGGTTTAAGCTTAACGTGTAGCTTACCACAGGGTCCACATGCGATCCATCATGCCGTGGTGCACCCAGAAAGCAGGGTCGCCGGGAGAGGTGAACAAGTCGGCGCCCGGATCACCGCTGATCGCGTAGTGCATGCCTCCGTGAGGGCCGATCTCGATCGTGTAGGGGACGCCCTCGGAAAGAAGTCGGTACTCGGAAATGTTGGGCTTCAGAAGCAGGTCTATAGTCGGTTAGTCAATCGATGGACAACCAAATATCCAAAGCAACGTACTAAGCACCGTGGTGTAGTTGGCGTATCTCTGGTTCATGGCAGGGCCAACATCTCTCTTCAGCCCGCGGGGGTTGTAGCCGAGACCACCATCCGGGCCGGCAGCGGTTCCCTCCAGGCCGCCGACGGGGCCGAGGTTGACGGTCATGTTCGCGAAAGGACCGGTGGTCACGAAACCACCTCCCACACCAGCAGGCAGCTGGATGTTGCCGCCGCCGACTCCATCGGGCGGAGTGATGACGGGGCCGTCGTGGGGCACGTAGTCTCCGTTGCCGCCGAGACTGTACGGGTCGCCGTTGAAGATGGGAGACTTCTCGGGGGCCGAGGCGTACTTCGGCCAGTCCCAATACTGTCATTGCGAGTCAGTACCTGAATATTTAGTGGGAATCGTGCCTCGATGAACACTTACGGGCTGATAGCCAGTGTAACCACACTCATCCCTCAATGCCTTCTCGTACAGATGCACGAACCAGCGATGCCATGGCATGAAGTTGCCTGGGCAGATATGTCAGCAACCATCAAGGCCTGTCGATTTCCTAACGGAGGGAAAACGCACCCGTGTAGTGAATGAACAGAGTCGATTGAATATGAATGACAACAAAGTCATCAAACTATCACAACACGCAAAAAAGAGTCAGCCAATCTCGGATCGGTCCGGTGAGGTGGGTTGTGTGAGTGGGCTTCATGGCCTTACCCGCGACCGTGCACCCGCAGAAACATTCGCTGGCGTGTGCGCGGGCAACTGCTGGAGACACTTGACCGCGTTGACGTACGCAAGCCTCTCCTCCTGGGACAGAGAACCGCTGGTGGTGCATCGAGTCAGTCACTTCATCTCGGCAACGTCTCTGGGCAGCTGGGGCGGAGGGATCATGACTTACTACTCGCGGCGGAAGACCAGGTTCCTCGCCGTGCAGGTGGCCGTCTCGCCGCGCTTGCGAAGCTTCTCCTCGCGCTCGTCCAGCGACTTGAGCACGTCAGCCTTGATGCTCTCCGTGAGATTGGAGAACCGGGCCTCGTCGGCGGCGAGATCGTCGCGGGGCTGGACCGTCGGGAGCCCCCAGGCAGACGACGCCAGGATGGCCGTAGAGACGATGGAGCTGATCCTCATGGTTGGCGGCTGTCTCTGCAAAAAAAAGATCGTCAATCAAATTTGGCGAGTCTTTTGACGAACTAATGGCCGGGCCCGTGTCAAGTCTGAGTGCGAGTCAGCTTGAAGAGAGGTGAAGAGAGAAGGGCCAGCGCATCAATGGGCGATGGGCGTAACATAATAAAGTCTGCCGCGAGCACAACTGCTGCGGAGCTTATGCCGGTAAATTGACGAGGCCGGTTTTCATCTCTGCAGAATTTCTTCAATGGCCTGTCGCGAGCCTGCTCTATCGCCCATCTGGGCTAAGAGGCGATGCACGTCTGCGGCGCTCAGCACCAACTTGCATGCAGTGGAGTCGTATTCAGGTGGCACAGGTGGCGTATGGCTCGCCGAAGAGAAGGGTGTCTTTCGGCCAACCAGCAGAGCAGGCACTTGTTGTTGGTAACGTTGGCTGCTGAACCCCCGGCATGCAGGCAGGGTCTGAGATACCACCGAAGCGGACGACTTTCGCAAATAGGAAGTTCAGCTCTCTGCCGGCCCCTGATCTCAGGAATCTGGCTTCATCTGGGCGCGCCCAGCATCTTGGGCGACCGTCGCTGAAGGATTCCGACAGTGAGCTTTACCGGCGGAGTTTCCACATAAGATCATGAGAGCGAATCAGGACGCTGTCCCCCTGCGCCAACACCGTCCTCCATGACGGTTGGATACGCTTCTATCGCAACAGTCGCATGCAGGTCCCCTGGCCCGCGGAATCGGTTCCAGGGAGTCCAACAAGGTACGCGCATGCCGGAAGTTCCGGAATGCCACGAAGAAGCGAACGTCTTGGCCGACTGATGCTCTGTTCGCTGCCGAGCCGCCGAGTTGCTGCGAGAAACGGTTGTTCGTCAGATCTTTGTTCCCCGGACGGATCCCTGTATTTTATGGACGGTGGAAGTAGACCCACTGCTGAGTCCTTGATAATCCTCCACCATTAGTGGAACAATGTCTGGGCTCCGTGACCTTGGCCGTAAGATGGCATAATGGCAAGGTTTAACTCGTGTTGATGTCTGGGTTGGTTCTAGTTTTGAAAGATTGCCCACATCCCGGTGGGCAACATTGCTTGACGCTATGAACATACGGCAAATATTTTCGGCGAGAATTGTTAGTTGTGAAAAGCTGGTTAGGCATGAATGTAAGTCACCTTTGAGTGGCCTATTCAAACCAGCTCGACATATGTTTGAAGGTTTCAAGCGCGATCACGCATCAAAATGAGCGGCGGTTTGTCACTGAATACCAAAACAGAAAATAAGGCGTACATAAATATCGACAAAACGAATGATGAACTATGGGGACTCGTAAATCTTGTTGGTCGAACGAGGAAAACTGACTAGCCACAGTCTGAATGGTAAAGGATAACGAAACAGTCGCAAGTTCGGACAAGTCCCTCACGAAGGAGGGTCGCATGTTAATGTAAGTCCCCACCCCAACTAACGGAACACCCCCACATATAGGACAGCGCTAAAACCGCGTTTTTTCGTGACTTACCTCCTATATTTATAACTTTATTAACGCGTTTTCATACTACTACTATTAAATTAAATATTTTAAAAAATACTATTATACTTAGTATAGCTATATATAATAAGAGTTATATTACTAAAGCTATTAAGGCTATATATAGTAGTAAATCTATTTAATAAGCTTTAAAGCTATAAGGAGTACTATTTTTAACTATTTATTATAGAATAAATAGTAGTTTTATTAGAAATAAAGTATAAATATTAAAATAATACCTCTTATTAAAATAAGAAGCTTATTTTACTAGCTAAGTATTAATATAAGCTATAATAAGCTTTATACTAAACTACTACTATATCTATATCTTTATAATATATATATTATATACTAGTAGTAATACTTAACTCCTTAGTAGGAAGTAGATAGAGGGATTTCTATACTATAACTTATTTTATAAGATAATAAAAACTAAGAAGATAGATATAAAAAGGGTAAAAAGTATTATAGAAAATATTATAAAGTAGTTCTTTAAGATATTTTAACTTCTAGATATTAAAATAATCCCTATAAGCTTCTAATAAAATATAAATAAGATAGGTATTATTAAGGGCGCTTAAAAGGATTATTTAGTAATAAGATATACTAATAAACCTTTAGTCTTTATTTAGAGTAATAAAAACTATATTTAGATATTAATTATTAAGTATATCTTTACTACTAGTATATTACTACCTCTCCTTATTATCTTTAAAGGGAAGATTATATAGTAGTAATAGTTTCCTAATAACTTTCTTAAATTTAAGTAATAGTAGTTTATATTATTAGTTAATAGTTAGATATTAAATATTATTAGTTTTAAGTAGTTAGATAAAGTATTTATACTAGGAACTACTATAGAAGTAAAGAGGTTATATTCTAAGTATCTCCTTATTATTAATAGCTATAGAAGCTATATATCTAACGATTTTATATAGTAATATTATACTAATAATATTTACTTAGTATACTTACTTATATACTTATCTTATATTATATAGCTACTTAATATATTAGTTTTTTTATTTCTAAAAGTAGTATATAAGTAATAGCTAGTAGAATAGAACTTCTTATTAAATTTAGTACTAATTAGTAAGTAGAACTTCTTATAATACTATTTATATATAAGATCTAAGGCTATATAACCTTATATTATTAAAATAAAGTAGATAGTAATTAGATTATAGCTTATTAATATTATAAAACTGCTAATAAGTAAGTTTATATATAAATTAGCTTTTATAAACGTTCTAAAGTCCTCTTTATAAAAAGAGAAAAGTATAGTAGAAGGAGGCAGAGAACTTAGAATTTTTTAGTAATTTTAACTTAAAGGAAAGGGGGTAGATAGGCGTTTTTATAAGCGTTAAGCGTTATTATAAGAGGAAAAAGGTTATATAAGTAAATAGAGGCCTAGTTAGCTTATAATAAAAAAAAAAGACTAAATAGATAAATAAGAAATATACTTATTTTTATATAAATTCCTATTTTTTCCTTAATAACTTTAATAACTACCCTCTTAGAAGAGTTTTTAGGAT